GTTACCTCTATAGTACAACTGTCTTTTCTGTCATTTCTTTCGGGATAATGCAATGCAATCAGATGTGTGGTCCAATTCATGGTGGGTATACAAATGGTGATACCAAAGATGAATACTATGAATACTGTCGGAAGTAAAACTTTCAATTTTAGTGTCCTCTTTCATGGTCCCTTTCATCCAATGAATACCCCCCGTATTCAAAGTAATTTTGTGGTTTTGCTACCCCTTCAGTAGAGATGAAATTTTGCGCCCCTTTTTATCAAAACAAACACACCAAAATCAGAGATGTCCCATTTTTTAATTACTCGATTAACAACTAATCGATTATTTTTTGTTCGCTGTGCTGCCATTTTTCCACCAATGAGTGTGCAGCACATGTTTGAAACGATCGGTGATGATCCTCTGGAGATGTTAATGCTTATATCGGCACGATATAACCGATTACAAATATTTTACTTTTCGGTTCGTTAATCGATTAATCAATTATTCGAATGAAAATCGGCCATCACTAGATGAATGTGAAACGTCATTTCAAATATAAGGAACGTACATAAATAATGATACAATTTGAAAGGGACCGGGGCTAATCACAAATTACGTCCCCACGGTAACTGAAATAAACACGAGTGTTCACCGGTTGGTGATACAGTGTCGGTGGGAAAAGTGCGGTTTTAGAGCAAATTGTAAACAAACTCGGTCGCAGTCCCATACAAAAACCCAACATGGCTGAATTCACCTTGGTCCAATTCTTAGCTGACAAAATTACTGGAAAACACAGATCGAATGGAAGGGATTCCGCACGTTCCCAACGCCCCTCCATCCGAATCAAACCGCTCTCATCAACCAGCGGCATCAGCACCAGTGGGGACTGGTTTTGTCTAAAGGCCGCTCCTTGTTCCGTTTCAGCACTTTCAACTCATTGATGAAGCCCTGTACTTATGTCATTTTCAGTAGACACTGTAACCGTTTGGTCACAAATTCATAGGTTTTTGTCATTTATGTTATATATTCAGAACCTTCACGTTTCTTGTGCAGGAACAGCAGTATACCACAGAAGTGATAGGGTTCTGTACCGCTGTGAAAATGTTGTGCCGTTACGTTATGTCCACCATAGAGCTACAAACAACTATACAAACAAGGATGACGGGATGAAGGAAAATTGGGAGAAAGAACGGCCATTGCCCAAAATCGGCCTCTTTTAATATCAGGCGTCCGTGTGCTAAGACGCAATTGTATTAGCTAAGTGCGGTGGTTGGTGTTTTAGAACGTGAACCAGGACCCTTCCCCCCTAGCAACAGCTAGTGTGCGCTAGGGAAATTTAACGTTCAGTTAACTAAATACCCTGCACCAAAAATCGTAAATTAATTACGTATTCGTCCGATAGGACCTCTTTTTTATATTGGACCTTAAAAGGTCATCCGTCAGCACACGGCCGGCTCGAGAAATTTTGGAACAGTTTCCGAGCCGAAACACTACTATCTGGCCAAACGTAGGCCATAATCGCAAAGGAGTTTTCCCTTCTCGGCTTGACCAAGGTGGCCTTGCCACGGTCGGCCGATCGTGCCAACGAAGGACGACGCCTGCTATCCCATCGTCCAGCAACGCCCGCTGGCCTGTCATCCGCTCGCTTCGCCAATCTGGCGAGATTTCCGGCCGCACAGTAGGACAGGAGTCACTGTGTCGGCCATCCCGATTCACCATCAACGGCAGCAGTGGTATGTACCGGTACAGTAAACAACGCGATTAGGCTACACGACACAAATTACACGAAATTATGAACACAGAACAACACGCACACAACACAGAAAGTGGCAAATAAAAGCATTTAAAGAAAAGTGAAAGTTCTTCGTTTTTGTATCGCGAAACCCTCTGATTACCCGGTAGCTAGCCGACCCTGTCGCCTGAGTCGACCGGGTGCTGTATGTTTGATCTCCGAGTAGGTAGTTGGTGAGTGCTGAGGTCTTATATCAGTTATAACACCGTTCCGCTTTCTCCTACTCTTTTGTTATCTGAAATTTGCTGATGGTTATCGGTTTCAGCATCTTTCGCTGTCTATAGTATATACACAGCAAAAAAATGTTTTTAATATCACATCAAAGCGGATGCACTTCAATCGTGTCGGAAATATGGTGTAATATTACTTGCCAAAAAGGACAATATTATCATAGAGGTAACTCTAAGACCACTGGGTCCCGAAGAAAATCATTATTATTTTTGGCTCACTCAGTACCAGAACAACGGTCCCAAGCAGTCCCAAGCTATTTCACTCACCCCTGCATGTTCTGCATGAATCCACACACCCCTGATGTTATCTGTCAAACTTTCATAGCGAATCAAAACAAACATAGTGTAGTAATAGAATTTCAACTAGAATAGGGTACATTAATCGTTTGCTTGGGACCAATAGGCTACTAAAGTGGTGAGCCAATTTAAAATCGTTAGTTTCGTATTGATTGTTGGTAAAAGCACAGACAAACAGACGTAACTCTTCGTTGTGTATCTTCATTCATGCATTTAACGGTTGATTTGAATATTATCAGTTCCGCGAACTACTCGCCGCAGCGCTGGCATCGGATCACTTTGACGTTTCTATATATTCTATAGAACTTCTATGCAATATTGTTTACGAGTTAGCGAGCAAGCTTGTTTTCCGCGAGAAGCCAGAGAGATGTCGTTACTGAGCTTATATGTTTTGAGATACTATGCTTTCAAGAACAAGTTTTTCTAAGAGTTACGTCTGTTTGTCTGTGGTAAAAGTATGGACGTCTGTCAAAAGTTGTTCCAATCGAACCGTCAAAATGCACCGCTTTGCTCGATTGGAACAGCTTTTTTCAGTTTTGTGGTGACAGTCGTCCATACTTTTACTGTAGGGCTTTATCCAGTTAGTGTCAAAAAGCACAGTGAAGGATACATTTATTCATACAAACAGGCCGCCATTACCGAGCATGGAAAGCTGGATAGTATCTATACACAGCAAAAAAAATGTAATATCGATCAACGTAATTCAAGCTGATGTATGAAATAATGATGTAATAGCAAAAAGCAGATACAATATTAATTTTGAAGCCGGATAAAAATCCAGCTGAAGCTTCTAGCTACCGCCCAATAAGTTTGCTTTCTTCAATAAGTAAACTTTTTGAAAAGATAATTTTGAATAGAATGATGCTTCACATCAATACGAACTCAATTTTTGCAGATGAGCAGTTTGGATTTCGCCATGGGCATTCAACTACTCATCAACTCTTAAGAGTTACCAATTTAATTCGTTCAAACAAATCGGAAGGCCACTCAACTGGAGTTGCTCTTCTAGACATAGAAAAAGCATTCGACAGTGTTTGGCATGAAGGTTTGATTGCTAAATTGAAAAACTTTAATTTTCCACTTTATATTATGAAATTAGTTCAAAATTATTTAACTGACAGAACTGACCTCCCTGATTTGCCTCAGGGTTGCCACAAATCTTTGTTCGCTGATGACACAGGCATTTCCGCTAAAGGAAGAAGTCTTCGTGTTATTTGCAGCAGACTGCAGAAAAGTTTAGATATTTTCTCTTCTTATTTACAAAAATGGAAGATTTCTCCCAACGCTTCCAAAACTCAACTTATAATATTTCCACACAAGCCTAGAGCTTCGTTTTTGAAACCTAGTAGTAGTCACATAGTCACTATGAACGGAGTTCCAATTTCCTGGTCAAACCAAGTGAAATATCTTGGATTAATACTTGACCAAAAATTAACTTTTAAAGATCACATTGAGGGCATTCAAGCTAAATGTAACAAATATATTAAATGTTTGTATCCTCTTATAAACAGGAAATCCAAACTTTGCCTGACTAATAAACTTCTAATATTTAAACAAGTTTTTAGACCGGCCATGCTTTACGCTGTGCCAATATGGTCTTGTTGTTGCACTACCAGGAAAAAAGCACTTCAAAGGATTCAGAACAAAGTTCTGAAAATGATTTTGAAGTTGCCTCCCTGGTACAGTACTACCGAGGTACATAGAATTTCGAATGTTGAGACTTTAGAACAAATGTCCAACAAAATAATGAATAATTTCAGGCAAAAATCGTTGCAATCCTCAATTGCAACGATTAATTCCCTTTATACTTAGATAAGATTTAGTTTTAGTTTTTAGTTTTAAGATATCAATTGTTATACTGACATGCAGGTTAAAAAACCTGTTTAAAATACTTAATTGCCAAGACATGAACAATGTAAAAACACTTGGATATATATCATAACAATTAGGCTGGTACGTTACTTCAGTAACTGGAGCACCTAGGTTAAAAATGAGATGTAATTTATTTTGAATTTGGAACAAATAAAGAGTTTAAAAAAAAAAAGATACAATATTATATCAATGGATATAATTTTGTTCGCAAAATCGATGTACATCGTACAACGTTATATCAGTGCTAACATTTGAAAACGGCACAAAAGCCATTTGTAAACAAATGGTTTGTGGGCCCTTTACTCACTACTTGAAGTACACCCACGCGACACAACAGCAACATCGGGTAGGGGAAATTTTCCCCTTCCTGACGATGCTGTTGTTTTGCGTGGGCGTTCTTCGGGTAGCAAGTAAAGGGCCCACAAACCATTGGTTTACAAATGGCTTTTGCGCCGTTTTCAAATGTTAGCACTGAATTACACAACCGATGGATTGACCTACCTAATAAAAAATAACCATAAACGAACGATAACCCAAATCATTGAACTATTCCATAAATGGTTTGGATGATACCCAGAACACGTCGTTAAGCAAATTAACCATACAATTTTTATTAGGGCTGGTTGCAGCAGTTGCGATGTAATATTCAACAACTTTTTTTGCTGTGTAGTTGGGAGTGGTGAATATTGAGTGTTTTGTGGTTACCGTGCAACTACATTCCTATCCCCCATGAAATCACTAAATGTGCTGTCAAATTACTGACAGCACTCAGGCAGTCAACCAGTCATCTTGCCAGCGAATAATTTGTTTATGTTTATATACATTCAGTGGCGTTGGTTCGCAAATTTTTCGACCGGATCTTATGAAGAATCGCTGTCGGGCACCGACATGCTTCCGTTTTTCCCATCACTAAGGCCGGCCATTGCCAACAACTTGTGGTTTGCGGCGGACGAATGCTGCGACGAGGATGCCGAAGTGAACGCAATGGAAACGGAGAACCAGGAGTGGGTAAGCTATAGATTCCTCCGTCTGGATGTCAGGAGTTTCGTATCTTCTAAATATAGCTGGAATAAGGGCTTAACAACTTTTGTAAGTGATGATTTATAGAACGTCGAGACACGCCCTGGCAAACCAACAAGGAGAAAGAGTTCCCTACCCGATGGTTATGTTCGCTTGCGTGGCCGTCACGGTGTCTGGAAGAAAAACTATGCGTTCCCATAAGACGTAGTCTACGTCAAAAAAACAATATCGTTGAAACAACCGCGTCAGTCCGAACAAGGCATAAGGCCCGGTGCCCGTTTGGCGGGTGTTTCAATGATACTGATTTTTTTTTATGACCATAATTTTGTCGTGCCGTGTCTTGAATTCCCAGCAGTCATTGTTTACAAAAGTTGTTACGCCCTCATTGCAGCTTTATGTAGTCTAGATCTATGATGAAGGATTGGCCCTTTCTAGCTCAATCGGATCGGTCAAATCGGAGCGGATTTAGTACCGATTGGAAAGAATGTTAACGAGCACACGGACAATATGGATTCGGAAGACGAAGATGGTAAGTGTGAAGCTGCTTTCCGTGAAATGCTTTGATTTACTAGCGGAAAATTATCGCATCTACCATTTTGATGAAAATCATTTTCAAGCAAACATTGGAAAAAAAATATTTATTTATTATTCTACAGACCGATAACTTAAAAATCTGATCAACTAGGTTGTGAATTACTCTAGTTAAGAAGGACGTGAATTAAAAGCCTCCATATTCTGCGCGTCGTGACTCTCTGTCGTTCGGGTCGAGATTCGCTTACAACCAATTCTTGATAGAGCTGGAATCAGGGCGTAACAGCTTTTGTAAACAATGACTTCTCTCGATGATTTCTCGAAATTCAAGGCACGCTCACGCAATCCAACATAACCAACGGGAAAGGGAAAACTTCCCCTACCCGATAGTGACGTTGATTTGAGTGAACGAGCCTTGGCTTTCTAGAAATAATCGAGAGAAATAATTGTTTACAAAACCTGTTACGCCCTAATTCCAGCTCTATCTAGAATTTTCTTTCTTTCAATCATGAGTTGAGTAGATATGTTGGAAGTTCTTTGAATAGGTACTATACACTCTGAAAAATCATCACGTCCGATTTACGTGAAAACATAGGTGGTTTTCGTCCACCCTATTTTTCACGTAACTTTTACCGGAATTACACATAGCCGATCAAAATCCAGCTTCGATTATCTACGTGATTAGTCAGGTAAATAAGACCTGATTTTCACAGACTGCTTACGTGAAATCGGGGTGAAAACTACTGGACAACTGGTAACTTTTACGTAACATTCCGTTTTGTTTAAAATGCTTTTCACGTAATTTGTACGTGAATTTTGAATGATAATAATGGAACGTTTATATAAAAGCAGTCAATATTATGCAACTTTATCGGGCAGATATAAAATCCACGTGTTGAAATTAATGCTTATATCTACTCATAAAATTAACGTGTATGAGTTTTTTTTATTTCTGACAAAATTGTAACAACTGTTTGCAGCGAGGTTCGCAGACTCAAAATGCTGATGCCACCGTCTGAAAATATAAAACTACAAAAATGCGGCATATAATCATAAATCAATTAATGTAAAAGAATCAAATTACCGTTCAATATTTGCAGGAAGCTGCTGGAAAATTTTGAATCTTTGAAGTGTTCTTCCACCACGCTCAGTGACGCCATATTGATTTTGTTTGCGTACCTGAAAATCACGTAAATCCCGTTTTGCAGAAATATCGAAGTCCCAAACACACAAACACAAATACACGAAATCTGTTTACGTGAATATGCGGTCGATTTCACGAACATTTTTAGTGGACCTGACATACAATGCAGATCAAAGTTACTAACATCACGTAACATTTGAGATTTTCTGAATACAGATCAGGTACGTGATATTTTACGTAAATCGGACGTGAAGATTTTTTAGAGTGTAGTAATGATTAGGTAGGGTGGAGAACGGTTGGTCATTAAACTCAAAATGTGTTCCCCATGTTAGTCTCAATGCTGTTCTGGATATCTACGTTTCATTCTATGATCAATTTTGGCGTTCTACTCTAAATTTATTCTAAGCTAAGATTCTCCTGGAAATCTAAACCATCGGACTGCATCAATTTCAAACTCTTTCTCCTACTGGTCCACAATCAATTTCAGCCAACGACGAAAGTGACGATTCTGACAACTCGGATGAGGACGACGAAGACATGGATGAGATCAACAATGCAGCCCGGGCCAACGACCGCCTGGTAATGGAAACGGCCTACAACAACACGGATGATGAAATACAACCGAACGATACCCTGTAATCCTGTGTACCATCATCCATTCCATGGAAGTTTCTTTCGTTGTGATAAAAAAAAATACTTCTAATACACGTTATTATATCTCACTTTATTTGTAATATGTAACTTGAAAAAATTACTAAAAATACATTTACGTTTCCTTAGTAAAGGGATTCTTCTGCGCTCTCCTATCGAGAAAATTCCAACCAAGATTTCCCCCACGTCGACAGGGTCTTGAAAATGCCTTCCTCAGTTCTCGGATTTTAAAATTGTATGTTAAGTTACGAATTCAAAATTTTGCATTCCTTCACTGAAGATCTCCTGCTCCTCTACACTGAACTCAAAGTAGGGGGAGGGGGGGGGGGGGATGTTTCGACCTTACAAACTACTAAATAATGTGTTATGTAATTACACTTACAATAAAAGGTGAACTTACTCTGTTCCTAAATTGAACTTCCGCGAGAAAAGAAAGGATTGACATCTATTGATCAATAGAATTGTGGGTTGTGGGTTTCTGTTGCTTTTTGTTATGATTTGAACTTTTTTTTTTCTTTCTCGTCACTTTTGTTTTGTATCTATCTATCCATGTATGTGTGTGTGTGTGTAGTCTGTTTAAAAGTTATGCAAATATAATTATACTTCATGTGAAAATTCCTCGTCATCTATGCTATCCACCCTTAGTTATGTTCTGTTTTGTTATTTTAGAGTCTAACGGCGATCACGGGATCCACTGCGGCTGCGACGGTCACGGTCGCGTTCACGGCTCATGCTGCGGGAGCGTGTTCGGGAACGGCGTGGCGAACGGGATCTGTTGTTTGCACCGCAATCGCGGAAGAGAGAAGAAAAAGAGCAGAGGGCACACGATGTAGTTAAGGTGCTTGCCGGTGAGGAGGTTGTTGCTGTGTTGCGCGGCGCCATTCAAAAGTGGTGGCGGTCGTAGCAGTAGTAGTTGTTTGTCAGCACGGAAGCGGTGGAACCATTTCGGGTACCAAACGAGGACTTCCTTGGATGAGTGGATGAGCGTATTTTTTTTTTTTGCATGGCTTGGTGGTAGAGTTGAACGCACACGAACGACGGAAGTCATTGTTCAGTGATGGATGGTGTTGTTCCAGGGGTCGTTGGTGGAACCCGCTTCCGGGTAGGGGAGTTAGAAAAAGTTGACCATGTCTGGGTGTGTTTGTGTTTGTGTGTAGGCTGAAGATGCTCCGAAAGGAGATTGCAGCTTGCAGTTATACAAGTTGATGGTACACAAGTTGACACAAGAAGAACTGTGATCGTTTGTGTGTGTTGGTTGATTGGTTGGTTGGTTGATTGGCAGAGGTGTACACAGAAACGGAATATTGGTGAACGGCCTTAGTGTCCGCCGAACGTTGAAACGCATGTTGAAGCGGCGGGACAAAGATGACGAACGACGAGCGCTGCCGAGGTCCACTCTTTCACTCACTTGGTCGTCGTTGGGCGGAGGAAGAAGAGAGTCTCGGTTTGGAGATTGAGATGTGTGTCGTTGGCAGATGTGTGATGTGTTGATTTTGATGGGATGATGGATAGTTGATGCAAATAGTGTCTTAAATTGGCTGGTTTGAAGGTTAGAAACGAGGATGCTCGACGAGTTGATTTTGGCAACTAGCTACAGCTAGGCGATGATTGTCAACGGCCAATGCATGGATGATGGAAGAGCGTTGATCGTCGGTTTGAGAAGAGCTTGATATTTCGGTACGAAAACACTGCACAGTTGGGTGTATGCGCTGCGAGATGGTGATCGATGATGGCTGATGACAAGGGGGGGTGGGCGGCGTTAGTAGGAAAGGACCCCATGGGATGCTAGCTTCTAGGAAAAAGCATGGATTATTCTTTTCTTTTGGGAATACAGGTATCAGCAGGTTTGAAGAAGGATAGGTTGTACCTGGTTGGAAGGCGATGTAAAAAGGATTCTTATTGCGAGAATGGTGAGGCACGTTGACATAACATAAACAACTGTCAGAAGAAGGAACAATTTGCACTAATTAAAATATACTAAGTAGGGGAAATGGCTCTAATGTTGGCCTATGGATCTAAGATTGGGCTCATCGCTAAAAATCTGCTATTTATCAATTTTATCTAGATGAACGCGTCATTGGGACGGTACTAATGGATATTTTTGATCGGTATTGAAAATTTACTCGATTGCTGAATTTATGTATGGGCCCAAATTAGGGGCATTTAGGCCGACATTACATCCATTTCCCCTATTAAGCGATTGCATAAAATTCGTTATTGGAAAAATAAAGTTATACGCGTTTTCAATGAAAAACAACGTGAAAACTTAATTCAGTGTGCATCATTCAGACTGACTAGAATTGAAATAAAATCTAAATGAACCAACTTATTCAGATGTATTCCGAACTGTCTGCAACTGGATAACCTTGAATCTTGCTTAATGTGGACGTCTATTGTGGAATACCTGAAGGATTAGTGATTTCCATCCAAGCTGGTTAGGTTAGGTTTTCTTTATTAAGGAGGTTTTCAGCCTTGGGCTGGTTCGCCTCCGAAGTAACATTGACAGATTCTCTTCGTCGATTTTCTCTTTGCATCCCCACGGCCATGTAAATACATTCCCAGGTATTTTTAGCACACAGATCGATAAAAGAAGCTTTTATCTAGCATCTAATCCGACGAACACATCAAGACGCGGTTTTGTGATCAAGTTATTAACGAAAGAGAAAATCGACGAATAGAATCGATCAATGTTACTTAGAACCTAATGCAATGTTCAGCTTGTATTTAAATCCACTACCTTAACTTAATTGCTTATCCTTGACGGAAACACTTAAGAAGTCTGCACAATGCAGGCGAAACACGCGCAGGGGCAGGAGGGGCATAGTGAGCATTTCGTACTTTGGCTCTGGATCTCCAGCTTCATGAAACGAATCAACTGATAGTAGGTTCAATATCATTATGATATTGATCCTACCACCAATCAATTTGTTCCGAACGGCCGGAATGCTAAGCTGGGGCATGGGATGCTCACTATGCCCCACCTGTTCACTATGCCTCTCTTACCTCTATCTATCAAGGATAAGCAATTAAGGCAGTGGAATTAAATGGAAATTACTAATCCTTCTCTCTTTCTGAATGACTTGTTTAGGTACTCAACCGTTGTCGAATCCACGAGTGCCCATCCAAACCCAAGAAAGGAGGAGGAACTTTCAATTACAATCGGTGAGGATCGTGGGTCACATTGAGGATGAGCTACACACGTACACGTACACACACACACACACACACATACACATACACCCCCGCGAGGTACTCGATTATTACCAACACTGATTTTAAGAGAAAAAGAGATTATTGCAATGAACGAAGAATACAAAAAAAAAGTAAAAAAGTATTAGCTGAAAAATCGCACTGGTTCACAAAAAAAAGGAAAAAAAGAAAATACAGGAATTTGAATTCATCCTACCTTTTCCAAGGAAATGGACAGCCTGTGGCATAACTCTTTTGAAAAAAGCTAGGATGTTGATTGGTGGTGTTGATTTATATTTTGGTGGTGGTGGTTGTGGTGGTAACTGACGAAGAGCGCCTACCGGGGACGATGCCTGACGATCGATGAGGCGGTCGACGGATTTCTATTGTTTTTTTTTTTTGTATCTACAGCTCTGTTTCTAGGCTAACATTGCACACATGTTGATGTGGTTATGGCGAAGAAAAGGACGCGCGGTCGGTTGCAGTTAGCGGTTCTTTTTTTCAGTTTTTTGTTTTGTTTTGGCGCACTATGCATTTCGATTCTAGAAGCAGTAGTAGGTGGTGGCTGGTGGTTGGTGGTGGTAGTAGTAGTAGAAGGGTTGTCGCGATGGTGTCGTAGTAGGAAGAGCAATTCGGAAGGCTGATGAGATGAGTAGCTGTAGTAGAGTTGTAGGTGGTAGCGCTCGTTTCGGACGGAGAGATGGTGGTCGGCAGTTGGGGAGAAGAAACCCGGAAGATCGTCGATGGCACCCCGAAGATATGGGGAAGATCGATGTGCGCTGGATGGTGCGAAGATATCAACCGTTGGATCTACTTCGCTTCACGCACACTATCATGCTGCAGTGTGTGCAGCATGTTGATTGCTTGTTCTGTGCTTCAAGCAAAGTTCATTCCCGCCTGGAAAGGGGATTGGTCCCTCCTTCCCTTCAGGTCGGAAGGACAAATTTCAACAAAATTCGTTGTTGTTGTTGTTGCTGCGGTTGAGAGCAAGTGGAGATGCTTGATTTCAGCGGCAGCAGCAGCAGCAGCAGCAGGTTCAGCGATGTCGTCGAACGATGCAGCAGCTGTTGAAGTGCTGACGTTGGCGATTGCAGTAGTAGTAGTAGTGGTGGTGGTAGTAGCGGTAGTAGCACTAGCAGTAGTAGTAGTAGTAGAAGTGATGGTGGTGGTTGCGGTTGAGGTAGTTGTACGGTTGGTAGATGGGAGACTACTTGAAGAGCTTGCGCGACGAGAGAGCGAACAAGTCTAGAAGAAATCGAAGAGGCTGAAGAGGTTTCTTTGGTGGTGATGGTGGTGGTGGTGGTGATTTGGTTGGTTGTGGTGATGGCTGTGGTGGTGGTGGTTTTGGTGGTGGATTTGATGCTTGCGCTAGTCTTGACAGTAGAACTACTAGTAGAAGGTTGGTTAGATGAAGTTCTGTGGCGGAAGTTGCTGACGCAGAGTTTCATAGAAGATCTTGCCCTGAAATTTGGTTGATCACCGGAGGTTAAAATAAATCGCACTCGCATAGTTGGTGTTGGGTTTGGTTGGGTGGTTTTTTTTTTATTTATTTATAGAGAACTGAACAGATTGAAATGGGGGCTAACGAAATTTGATTGAAAAGTAAAATAGGAGCAAAACAAATTACGTTTGAGAAACATTTCTGAGTAAGCAGTCTGTCCTGTGGGGTCAGTGTGTGAGCAATGGTCATATTTACATTGAAGAGATGTTAAGGTGATTTCTATACAGTCTTCAGTACGATCTTTCAAAAATAGTATGGCAACGGATCTAGCTTCTGTCAAGTGAGCTCAGGTAACATAAAGACATACAAGAATTTTTAAAGTGTATAAATTATCCAACGGAAATTAATAGAACTTTGAACTTCTGCAACATTCCAGACAGGCAAAATTTGTATTTTTAGCTCCTTTGAAACGTTGGCGCCACATTTTCGACCTTTGTTCATAGAGCTTAGGGACTGTTCATAAACTATACGTAAACAGTTTTGAAGAGATGTTAGACCTATTCTCCCCTAAGTAGACAACCGTCCAATTGAAAAGTATGGATCATAGACACTCACTGAGCCTCTCTCTGATATTGCCTTGTAATCTTCTTTATAAAAGTCCTAAAATTATCTGCAGAATACAACTCTCCAAACAAAGTCGTGAAATTCATCACAGGGTGTCTACTCAATCCAAGGAATCAAATTCCCTGAGTTTTCCAGGTTTTTCCAGGTCGGATGAAAAAAATTCCAGGTGCATACAAATTATACACATTATTATTTTATCTATTTATCCATCTGGAATCCTGAAATTCTGTAAAGTTTTCTGAAGTACTGTATTTCTGCACTAAAGATCTTCGAACTGCCCTGAAGTTCAATAAATTTCACAGTAGATCTCCGAACTTTTCTAAAGTTCTTTAAATTTCTTTGTGGATTCTTGATCTAAAGATCGGCGAACTTTCCCGAAGATCTGCGAGTTTTACTGAAGTTTTGCAAATTTTTCTTAAAATGTACGAACTTTCTGACGTTCTACAGACTTCTCTTAAGGTCTACGGACTTCTCTGAAGTTCTTTAGATCCTTCTATTTCCGACTTCCATGGAGTTCTGCAAAATATTGTACTTTTGTACTTCGCTGCGATTTGTTTTTGGAATTAAGGAGCTTTTGTGACATTTAACGAATTTTTCTGAAAATCTCACATTTGTGTGAAACTGTGAAACTTTCTGTCAAATTCCTGCAAATATCTTTAAAGTTCTGTAAAGTTGTCTTAAGCTCCGTAGCTCTATTCCCAAGATCTACAAAAAAAAACTTGAGGCTCAATAAATTTCTCAGTAAATCTGCAAACTTCTCTGATGTTTTGTAAATTCCTCTAGGGTTACCTTGAAGATTTGAAAATTTCCTTGAAGATTACCTAAAGTTGTCAAAATTTATCTGAAAATATTTGAGCTTTTTTGAAGTTTTAAATGTCTCTCTCAAGATCTACAAATTTTCCTGAAATCGTGTAAATATTTTTTTTTAAATCGCCGAACTTCCCTGAAGTTCTGCAAATTTTACTGAAGATCCATTAACATTTCTGTGATTTCTGCGTCTTGTGATTTTTTCAGAAGTCCTGTGATTTTTTTCAAAGTTCTGTAGCTTTGTTCTGAAAATCTACGAATTCTGATGTTGAATAATGTTTCGAGGATCTCCAAACTTCTGTGAAATACTTTATATTTCACTGTTGATTCTTGGACTTGTCTGAAGTTATGCGAATTTCCCTGAAGATTTGCAAAATTTCGCTTATAGTTTAACAAATTGATTTGAAATTATTTTTGCTTGCTTGAAGTTTTGAAAATTTCTTTGAACATTTATCTGAAGATCTACGACCTCTCTTGTGATTTTGTTTTTATGAATTTCTGTTACTAACTTTTAATTTGTTTGTAGTTCTGTTCTCAAGATCTACGAACTACCCTGAAGCTCAAAAAATTTCTCAGTAGATCTCCGACCCTCTCTGAAGCTCCAAAAAATTCTATGTTGGGTCTCAGACCTGCTGCTGTCTGGCATGCTTATTCTTATACAATACATGCTTCGCATGCTTCCTTTTGACGGTTGCAAGTCCCTCTTTTTCGCCTGTTTCCTTTTTACGACGATTTTGATCCTCCACATACAAATCAGCGAAGAACGAGCGTGACAACTCTCTGATTGAACTTGTCTCGTTCGCACACGTTGTCATAGCCGTCAGATGCTTGTCAAGATCAGTGTCCTTAAGAAACTTTTCGAGAAACTGAACGAAAAACTTCTTTTGAATTACGAATGAAGTGATAATTGGAAAATTCCCTGAGTGGAACCAAAATTCCCTGAATATTCCAGGTTTTTCCAGAAAAAAATAAAATTCCCTGTAAATTCCCGGTTTTCCAGGTTTTTCCAGGTAGTAGACACCATGCATCATTAGATTTGCTTCGAATTTTTAATTATTCTCCCAAAAATTCCCTGCAATTAACTTCTGAAATGTCTTGAAATTCCACTCTTAATTGTCATGGACTTCTCCTCAGAATTCTTATGAAAATACACTTGGAAATCCGGAGAACTTTGAGATTTGGGCGTAAATGCTTTTGTAAACAAACATGTCAATCGCTGATTTCTAGTGAATAAAAGAAAATCTCGTGAACAAACTATACCAAATGATAGAAGAACCATTCATCTACTTGTTTGGGTTGTTAGTTTTTAAGATTGAGCTTTAATTCGCGAGAAATCGTGAAATGAAGTGTTTGTTTACAAAAGCAAATACGGTCTAATCTCGAAGTTCTCCGGAATTCTCCACAGAATTTTCCAGAAATTCATCTTCGAATTCTAGATAGAGCTGGAATTAGGTCGTAACAGCTTTTGTAAACAATGACTTCTCACGTTGATTTCTAGGCATTAATGTTACACAAACTAACTGCACCATCGGGTAGGGGAACTCTTCCTCTAGTCGATCGTGACGTCGATTTGCCAGGGAGAGCCATGACCTTCGAAAAATTATCGAGAGAAGTCATTGTTTACAAAAGCTGATTCGCTCTAATTCCAGCTCTATCTAGAATTGTTCAGGTTCTCCGAACAATTCTATAGTAGCTACCATGTACATTACTGAAGATCCCTAAATTTTCTGGGGAAATGTATGTAATGTCGGCCTAAGTGTCCCTAATTTGGGCCCATACATAAATTCAGCAATCGACTAAATTTTCAATAGCGACCAAAAATATCCATTAGTACCGTCCCAATGACGCGTTCATCTAGATAGAATTGATAAATAGTAGATTTTAAGCGATGGGCCCAATCTTGTATCCATAGGCCAACATTAGAGCCAATTCCTCTATATCATAAATTCACTACTCTTCAGTTATTCTTCTTCTTTCTAAAATTCTAAACTTCTCTGGAGATCATTGAACTTCTGAGAGGTTCAACGAACTACAGATAATAGGTTCAGTGAACTTCGATGTTCTTAAAAGCGCTTAAGAGAGGATCTGTGAAATTCAGACTTTGGGAGGATCAGAGAGCTTCAAAGATGTCCAATGAGATCCGAGATACTTAGTGTTCAGGGACCTGACAGGCTCGTCAGGGTGTCTACTCTTGTTTTTCCAGGACTTCAACGGAAAATTCTAGATAGAGCTGGAATTAGGGCGTAACAGCCTTTGCAAACAATGACTTCTCTTGTTGATTTCTAGGAATTCAAGGCACGCCTACACAAACCCAAGGGGTAGGGTAGGGAAAGCCATGAGAGCCATGGCTTTCGAGAAATCACCGAGAGAAGTCATTGTTTACAAAAGCTGTTACGCCCTAATTCCAGCTCTATCTAGAATTTTCAGGTTTTAGAAGAAACTTTTTCCTTAAACGTCAATTCCTTGGAATGGTCCTCAGAATTCCCTAGGATCTCTTTTTTGAGTTCTCTAAAGATGATTACAGGAACAAACTAGAAATTCTCCATAGTATTCCTTTGAAATTTACCTCAAAACTTCGTTGAAATTTGCTATGAAACTTTCCTCAAATCTTCTTTGGCATACTCCTAAGGACGAAGTATATCTTTTCCCGATTTGCCATAGAAATTCACGGCTTTTTCCGGGATCCGACAGTTCACTACACGACGAATGAGAACGACCCAAATTTGAGTTTAGTTCACTCATAATCGCCAAAAGTGCAGGAACTCAGCGATGAGTAAATTTGTCTCATGGTTTCCTGTGGAGAACCTAAAAAATCTGCAGGAAAATGAGGAAATTGACGAAAATTTTATTCAGTCTCGGAGTAGTACCAATAGACTGAGTGAATCCAATCTTTACTTTTCTCAAATTCGGGAATTTTTCCCTGAAAAATCCTGGGAAAAAATTAGAGTAATCATCGCTGAGTTCCTGCACTTTTGGCGATTATGAGTTGACTAAACTCAAATTTGGGTCGTTCTCATTCGCCGTGTAGGATTACTGGTTCAAATTGCACCAGCTAGCGAAGGCTTCGAACTGACGTTGGACGAAGTGAGTCAAGTATCTGCATACGATAGCCTTTGATGACTACATTCACGTCATTGAAGATGAAGACAATTAAAAAGTTCCACGGTCCTAGGTGACTTTAGACCGGCAGCTGTCGATCAGTGAGATATGAGCGAAGCCATCGCAAGAGGTTGGCAATCGCGATGGCATGGTTTAGCTTATCTACGGCTGCTGTTGGTGTACTATATGACGTCTGTTAGAGCCCTTCTGTAATGCTTTCAGTGATATTATAGGGTTAATGTTCCTAATGTCGCCAAAATACCTAGTATTGGGCCTGTGCATATTCCGAATGAAAGCAATTTTTCACCATTTCCTTCATTTTGCAAACTTCAAAAGAAGTTTAAAGTGTTGCTAACCGTATTTTTAGGATCCCTGATGCGTACCTAGCTATTTCTAAAACTCGTAAGTATTTAGTTTACAGAATTGTCGAAATAGAAGATTTCCTCATCTTTTTCGAATCTGTTGAAATAGCCAATCTCTTTCCTATAAAAGTTCCCGTTACCTGGAAGATCGTACTTAATCGTCTGAGTCTGTGGCTAGACCACAGGGAAATTCTTATCTTCGCATTTCCCTCCAAACGTTCCGACCCGAGTCGAACCCACTATCTAATGTTTCGTAATGAGTGGTCTAGTCCCCTAAATTCGTTTCAGAAAAGTCTTCATTTATCGACACAGTCGGGAGAGAGGCACGTTCTATTTATAACAAGATAGAAACAGACAAGACAGACAGGTGTAAAAAAAACTGTAGGTAGGAAGGCATAAACTAATCAATCAAGATATTCTGTTCGAGAGTGTCTAAATTTTGAGTCATGACAAATAAAAACCAACGAGTTTTAAACGAGCAAAATTACCTGTACGATCGACGGGCAGGCCGTCTGCGGTCATCACGCCGCGTACGCCCGGAGGACATCTCCACTCGAATTCTGGTTCCACAAACTCTCCTGTTGGCGACAAATCATTCCATGAGTACCCAATCGGTTGATCCCCAGCAGACAAACAGCAAGCAAAACTTACGTTCCATCAAGCGATCGCACCGCATCTTCGGCATCGCGCTTGTCCTCGAACTCGACAAAGGCGAAACCCGGCGGGTTGCGGGCCACCCAGACGTTCCTCAGGGGGCCGTACTTTCCGAAGGCGCTTTCGATTTCATGCTTCGAAGCGGACGATCCCAAATTGCCGACGTAGACTTTGCACTGAAGGTCCCACTCGCGGTAACGTGCCATTCTATTTTATGTTTGTCTTCTACTGCGTCGCGAACTGAAAAGTAAATAAAAATTCACATGAAAACCTTGAGCTGCTCAGGCAAACAAAGTGCAAATTAAAACTAGCTGCTACGTCGTCATCCAGCAACATCCGGGAGGGTGATATTCATTTACCCTGCGGCAGCAAAGTCGGAAAATGCATTTTTCGAATGCACAACTTTATAAATAGAAAATGACTTTCCACGACCCGGAGAACAATATTGATCCGAGAAACACCACTGGCACTGGCAGATTCTCGTAACGCGATTTCAAAATGGCTGCTCGGGCATAGCACCACTTTTCTTCCACTGCGATTAGAGCCCACGACAAAGGAAAAATATTCCCACGGAAAAATCTCGCTCACATTCACCTTCCCCGAACGAATTCCACTTACCTCGGATAGAAGTGATTCTTGACCGGAGAAATTCACTACTTCCAATCGATTTGGAAGGGAAATTTACGATTTTTATCAGCTTTTCACTTGAGCTTACTTCGCGAGCGTGCGACTTTCGCAGATGATGGATAACTTTTGCTGGCAGTTTCATGCGACTGGTAGCACTGTTAGTTTATTTTCGGGAAAATGGATTTTAGAGCTGTGCGATTTGCGGAACACAGCGAAAATGAAACTAGCGCGACAGCTAGCCGTCGATGTATAACAACTAAAATTATATTGGCAAGGGGAGCCAGCGTCGCCAGATTGTTTTCAAGCTTATCGGTTTCAAAGGTTTAAACAAAATCATTATCTAAGGTTTTGAATCTAATTTAAATCCTACTAAGCATAACCTATATCTCTTTTTCGAACAAATATGAACTCAAAAATGAAGTGATTGTACCTTTCTATATGTACCGAAACCTATGGAGAAACTTCCAGAGCAAGACGAAAGAAACTTCTGGGAGAATTCGATAAATACTTCCAGTAAGAGATGAACTAGCCTAAGACTAAACATCTCTTAAGGCTGTGAACCATTTGCCGAGTTAAATTTAACTCGTAGTTAAAAGTGACATTTCGAAAGTTATTTCTTATGTTCGAAAATCCCCGTGCTGTCGATCGACCGGTTTTCGACCCACGATTGTCAAAATTTAACTTCTTGTCTGTCAGAAATAACCATGCTCGGATAGCAGGGTTCATCGATATTTTTCCATCTGTCAAATTTTAACCAAAAGATCAAAAAAAAAAATCGCCAAATGGTTCAGAGCCTAAATAAAGTAAGGAAAAAAATACTTCCGGTAGAAGTTTAAATGAATTTCCTGGCGAAGACGGAAGAAACTACCTAAAGATGCTGGAAGAAACTTCCTGAGGTAGATTGAAAAAAAAAAAACTACTGAAGAAAGTCGGAAGCTTCTCCCGGCGGAAGCCTTATAGGAGAAGTTCGGAAAAAACATTCCGGAAGAAAGCGATTTCTGGGGGAAATCGAAATAACATTCCAGGAGGAATCGTAAAATAACCTATCGGGTGATGTGGAAGAAATGTCCATGGGAAACTCGGAACAAACTTTCAAGAGATTATTAAATAAACTATAATTAAGTAACTAAGAGGTTACTCTTAGACCAGAAGGTCCCGAAGAAATGTGCTCAACTTTTTAACTCAGCTCTGGTAGTATCCCCGCATAAACAATAACCATAAGATGCGCCTAACCACCAATTCGGGATATCATCCCAATTTTATGAGATATGGTAGCACCATCTAAGATATCGTCAGTATATGGTACACGTTTATTAGGGTCTTCGGTCCCAAGCTAATCGATTCACCCCGCGAAACATAGGAAAAACCAATAACCCCTCATTTTACCTGTCAAACTTTCATAGCGAATCAAAACAAACATTGCGTAGTACTAGAATTCCTACTAGAATGGAGTACGTTAATCGATTTGCTTGGGACCAATAGGCTAGTCAAGTAGTGAGCCAATTGGAAATCGTTAGTTTCGTATTGATTGTTGATAGTACGAAGTCCCCCATGTTTCACGCACAGTCTGACGTTTACTAGAGTCGGTATATAATAAGTCACGCCAAGAGTGAAGCCAAGTCTACTTATCGAACTGTCAAACTAGCTACCTATCGTTCAAAGTAAACAAACATTACGATGCTATGAAAGGTCCACGAAAGGTATTTCAATAAAATATAAAATATAATCGAAGAAATGATAGTAAACACGCAGTGAGCATTCAATTGTCATGGGATACGCTTGGTAATCATCAATCATGTGAATTTCTACAATTTTTTGATAAGATAATTTGACAAAATCACTGATATAACGATTTACTACAGCCGCTATTATTTTTTCTCGCTAGAAGTCATTTGAAGTTGATGTAGAAGTCCTCTGTTGCCAAGTTAAAAGAAAGGGAATCTTTCGAAAACCGTGATGCGAGTTCAACTGTTTTTCTCTTGGCGTGACTCATTATACACCGACTCTAGATTTTACCATAGAAGTAAAGAGCTACAGAGTCGCCGTCAACGCCAATCTGGCAACGCTGAGGGGAGCATCGATGGAACTGAAGACTGGAAACTATTCCATTTTCTCATACAAACACTATGAGACAGGTACAATCGCGTGCCGGCGCCGGTGGTGTAGTGGTAAGCGTGACTGCTTTCTAACACTCCGATGGGTCTGGGTTCAATCCCAGCCGAGGCCGGTGGGATTTTTCTGAGGCATAAAAATCTCTGGTCACGTCTTCCTTCGGAAGGGAAGTAAAGCCGTTGGTCCCGGCCCATGTGTGTTGAATGGGTGCGATATCCTACGTTGAAAAATTGAGTGCCTGCGTGTTTTAAGCGATGGATATTGTTGTTTTTTTTATGGTTGTTTTTATTGTGTTGAGCAAAAATGATGTATGAGCTCCTGATGAATGTAGGCGTCTTAGTGGAATACCTGTATAAAGAGAGAGAGATAAAGATTAGTAATTTAATCTACAATGTGCAGACTTCTTCAGTGTCTTGTACTAATACTCGACGAGTTTTATATACGAACTGCTAGACTGCGGTAGAAACACCGACAAACCAACATGAAACTTAAACTTAACTCTTGATCGAGAATCCACAACGGCCGTTTCAAATGTGCAGCGATTCCATCTGTGAAAACCATAGAAATGTTTTATCTAGATAAATTTCATTTCTCCAAAATAGATTAGACACGAACCAACTCAAACGGCACCGGTGGTGTAGTGGTAAGCGTGATTACCTCTCACCCCAGCAAGCCTGGGTTCAATCCCAGTTGGCGCCGCCGGGATGTTCTGAGGCATAACATCTCTGATCACGCCTTCCTTCGGATGGGAAGTAAAGCCGTTGGTCCCCGGTTCATGAGTTGATGGGTCGATAGGTAGGGTCCAGGTGTGGGAGCTGCCTTCCTGGCACGTCGGTAGCATTGGTGCTCAGCACGGAAAACAAGATCGACGGAAAAAAACAAACCAAAGGAAAAAAAAAAAAACGAACCAACTCATAAATTTTGTACGCGTGTTCGTGACTAGGATAAATATTTTCCGCGAACACGGCGGCAGATGTCAGTTTTGTGCTATGATCAGAAATTTCTTTGTAATTTGTTTGATCATTCATGTCGGTTTGTTGGTGGTAGAAGCTCCGAACAAAATCCAAATTAAAATGGAAAAATATATTTTACATTCCTGACATCATTGGTCAACTCTGTCAAACACCACGCACAACTTTCTGAAGGGCATTCTTCAAAAACATTTAGCAGAGTGAGAAGTCATTTCAAGTCAATTGAGTTCTCCAAGCAGGATCTCACGAACAGTAAACTAATAACATAATTTTACACACACTAGCGTATACTGTCATGTGCACGGTAATAATCAAATTTCCATTTATGAGTAAAAGTTAACCCATTGTCAATAAAAGCGGCACCACTAATTAATGAGTAATTCATTATGCCAATTAAGTAGTAACTGTTAGCTACTGTTAGCAGAAATTCATTGTTGTTAAAATAATTTACTCATTAATGAGTAAAATCACCTTTATCAAAAATGGGTTAACCTTTACTCACAAAAGGGTACTTGACTGTTACCGTGCAAGCGTAGGGTTTGTTTTCGTTTTGTTGCTTATTTTTACTTTAGAATGACAGTTCTTACAGCAAACAAAAAATTTCTCACAGCTAACAAAAAATTTCATCTCACTAACACACGCAAATCGCATCAATACGAGCCCGGCTGGAGAGGACTATTAAAATTGTCAAGCCCCGTCCAGGGTCTAACATGGTCTAACCACAAACGAAGTGACAGACGGAGCGGCTCGAAAACTTTGGTGAATAACCTGCTATTGCAATTTTTCAGTGTACAACATGGCAACACCACTACTACTGGATTGAACTAGCATTTTCACCAAATGTACAGAATGTTTTGGTTCTATCTCTTTCACTCTACTCAAAACTGAAATGCATAAAAAAAATGACAAAATGATACACTCTTTGCACACTGTCAAAGAATCATTGTACACTAAATCAACTTTGTGCAAAACCAAAACAAAATTACTATCCCATCTGGTGGATGATGGCACAAGCTTCTAAGAAAATTCTATTACAGCGAACCACATTATTTTAATTGATTTCTTCGCCAGTTAAGGCCCAAGCACAATGACGGTGGAAGCGGAACGGCAACGGCAGCGGAAAAGCCCAATCTGAGTAAGCCTACTTGTCGGATTGAAAGCTAGTTAGATCCAAATCGACTTCGGTTAGGCATCTTGATGTCATTAATGACAATTGTCAAACTTTCCGTTTCCGTTCCGCTTCCGCCCACATTGCGTTTGGGCCTTTAGTCGTCTGTCACTTCGTTTGTGGTCTAACTGCGATGATCAATTTTCTTCATCGATTTTTTCTTTGCATTAAAATCACAGACAAACAGACATAACACTTAGTTGAAGATGCTAATTTCAAATAACAGACTAAAGTGGTCATTTTCATACGATAGATGAGGAGATGAAAGTATAGACACAGAGAACAGACATTGAGGCTCGAACAAAATTTCTCTAAAAACTTGTGTAAAGATTCCTATTCGATTTAAGCGCCACTAACGGCGACTTCCCCACTTAAAAACCTTTTATCTCTTTAAGTTCTAGTTGGCCTTTTGTCGTTTTGGACATTGTGTCTCTGAGGATTTTTTGTGCATTAGAGCATTTTCAGGCCAAATAGCAAAAAATAACATTAATTTCAGACTCGACCTTCTCAGATTTGTATGAAACTCTGCATAATTGTTAGTTATGGTTAGTAATTCACATTTGTGCAAAATGTCGGCCATCTTGAATCTTGCAAAACAAAAATTGCGTATTTGATACATTTCAACAAATCATAACTCGAAATCGAAATAATGTATGAGCTAGGGTTTGGCTGTCTCTCAACAACTACAACTATAGAATTATCGAGTTATAGAATAACAATTATCACAGTAGCCATGAAATTTATTTTTACTATTACTCTATAACTCGATATCGAGTTAGTGGACATCGAGTTGTGGAGAGTAGCATGGAGTAGCTGTGTATAACTGAACCGAAAAATCAAATTAACAGCTCGTTTGACAGTTCATTTTTACTGGT